CACATTAATTAAGTGAGCCCAAGGGGGCCTTGGATTGCTGGGCCTCAATACTTTGAGAGTTGGACCTTGGTAGTCAGTCTCAGGAGGAGAAAGTGGGCAAATAATAGACTAGACTGTGATGGCTAGCTTTAGGAATGTAATCTAATGGTTTTCAGCAAGGCAGAGGGAATGGTGGGGGGAGCAAGGTCTGCCACAGCTACACACTCAAGTGCACTAGGGTCCTTTCACTTGTAGCTGACTGGGGAGACAGGGAGAAATAAAATGAACACAAGCAAAACACAAGGTAAAGCAGCAAGGTGACCTGGGATGAAGACAGCCGGATGAGGCCTGGCAGAGGGTATTCTCGTGGAACACAGTCCAGCTAGGCACTTCCGGCTTTACCTACTTTTACCCTTTCCTGCCCACTCACAAATACTAGCAGCTCAATGAAACTTCAGTACTAAGAATGGAGACTGGGTGCTGGTAGCACACACCTTTAATTCCAGCACCTTTAATCCCTGCAGAGGCAGGCAGATTCCTGAGTTCAAGGCCAGGTTTGTCCACAGAGCAAGTAACAGGACAGCTAGGGATTTACTGAGAACTTTGTCTTGGAATCCCCAGCCCCCAGGAGGGGATGGAAGAGGGAACAGATACTGGACAGGCACACCTTCCTCTCACACCTTGATCTTTAGTCTATACTGTATCAGAACTTTCCATATCTCATCTCCTAACTGAATCCCAGCCCTTTCCTTGACCCTCGGCAAGTTCTTGGGACTCAGTCTCCTCACTTCCTAACCACCCTTCTCTGTTCTATGATGGCACAGCTGCCCTACATTAGAACAGGGTGTCCCTCCCTCTCCCATCCCTTAGATCGATTCCATGAGTCCCAGGCATGCATCCTATTCAACTCCAGGCACGTGCCAAGTACTAATGATCTTCAAAAACATTTGCCATAGTACTCCAGGCATGTCTGGTGTGTGTGTGTGTGTGTGTGTGTGTGTGTGTGTGTGTGTGTGTGTGAGCATGCGGTGGCATTTGTGGACTCAGTTCCACCCTCCCATTTAACATGGGTGTTGGGCGAGAATGGAAATCAGGTTGTTGGGCCTCAACAGAGGTTTGTACCTCTGAGCTATCTCTGATCCTCAGACTAATGTTCTTACATACAGGACATACAAGTGATCCTGGCCCATGGCCAGGAATTCTCTTCAGCACAGTGGAGGCAGCTTGTCCTCATAGGACGATCGGCTTGAATACCTCTCCTTGCTTGTTCTTAGCATTAATGGTATACCATTTGCGACTTAAGGTCTAAGCTGGCCTGAGCTTGGCTGGGAAAATGCCCCGACAGAAGAAACAGCACCCCAGAATGGCCCACGCCACCAAACGAGTAAGTCAGCCATCAAGCATAGCTTTTCGTAATCTCTTCTTTATAAATTGACTTTATCTATTTTTGCGGCTAGCAAAATTATTAAAAACACTCTTACTTTGGAATGGAACAAATTTAAAATAGCAGTCATGGCAGGCGGCGGTGGAGCATCACTTTAATCCCAGCACTCGGGAGGCAGAGGCACGAGGATCTCTGAGTTCGAAGGCAGCCTGGTCTATACAGTGAACTTCAGGACAACCAAGGCTGTTGTTACACAGAGAAACTCTGTCTCAAAAAACAAAAACAAACAAACAAAACAAAAAGCAGTTAACAGATAATCAGCCATTTGAATACCGAGTAAAAATTGTTATGTTTTTAATTAGGCAAATCATGTATGGCATGTGCATTGAAGTGAGGACAGTGGCTTGTTGATCTGCGTACGTCTATAGGAAAAGATGCTCAAACCACACGTGGGTTTTAAAAATTCAGATAATTTTAAAAGATCTTCAAAACTACAGAAAACAAATCTTCATTTAAAAAAAGAATCTTTTAACAGAGAACTGGATTAGGATTAGGGGCATTAATTTCATGAACAAGGATATGTTTGTTACAGGATTATGAAAATCTATAAGGAGGGAGGGGCTGCTTTTCCAAGAAATTCAGACGTTAGACACAAGCAGCATGAAGGTGCTGCCCCCTTGTGGGCATTTTAGTATAGTCATTATTGGAGTTAGGTAGGTTTTGTTTGTTTGTTTTTAACTGAAAAAAACAAAATTCTACTGGGTGGTGGTGGTGCACACCTTTCATCCTGTCACTTTGGGGGAGGCAGAGGCAGGTGAATCAAGGTCAACCTGTTCTAAAGAGTGGGTTCCCGGAAGGCCAAGGCTACACAGACAAACCTTATCTCGAAAAACCGGGAACCAACGTAAAACAAAACGCCTGGTTCCACCCCTCCCTAGGATGAAGGAAGCCTTGAAGTGACTCATTCTTCCATTAACAACAACATTGGACAATGGGGCCAGATTTAGAGGTTCACATCTTTAATCCCAGCACTCGGGAGGCAGAGACAGGCAGATTTCTGTGAGTTTGAGACCAGCCTGGTCTACGTAGTGAGTTCTAGGACAGCCAGTGCCACAAAGGGAGACCCTGTCTCAAAAACACCAAAACAAACAAACAACAAACACATAAAAGACAACAGGGAGGGGAGAGTAGAGAGATGGCTTATGGCTAAGAGCACAGGCTGCTCTTACAGAGGACCCAGATTTTATTCGCAACACCCACACTGGGGGCTTACAAACATCTGTAACCAAGTATAGAGGATCTGGTACCCTCTTCTGGACTCCACGGGCTTTGTTCTCTCACATGCACAAACATACAAGCATATACACATTAATATATACGTATATATTATACAGATGATGCAGATTTTAACTCTATTGAGTTGTATAGATTTAGGTCTGGTTAATTTTGGTGTTTTTAGTTATTTACAAAGCTTCTTTAAATAATAGTTTATAAAATTAAAAGCGCATAAATAAATAGAAAACCTGGACAGTGAACAAAATCAGAACTTTCTGGTCTCCCATCAGAGGGCTTGCGTACAAAACAAAGCACTTGAAAGCACCAGAGGTATGGAGGAGAGTGGGCGCTGTGACGCTGGCCGAGCTAGAACACAGCAGACATGTGGGGCCTATGCCCAGGAGAGTAAGGATTCGAGTTGAAACAAGTCCCTTAAACCCAGGCACAGGTGACAGCCCACAGAACCCCTGTGCCACCCGGGCAGCCTGGTCTACTTGTAGACTTGCAGGGGGTGCCTACTAGAAAGATGGGGAGGACAGTGATCAGAAAAGCCCTGCTAGGAGGTGCAAGCATGGGGAGCACTGTGCTTCATGAAACCCAAGTCAGAACAGCAAACCTTAAATCCAGGGCTGAAGTCAGGGAGGGAGAATTTTAAGTTAGAGCCCGGCCTGAACCATAACAGGTTAGTAAGGACAAATTATTGAACACTAGAGCAGCAAACCTTATTGTCGCCAGGGTGTTGGGTGCAGAGGCACACATGGGTGCAGAGGCACACATGAACTAGATATGCACAAAGCCAATTTTATCTTTGAAATTTTTTTCATTTTCTGCTTAACGATTTTGAAAGCAGGGTGTGGACACGCTAGGTGAGTGTTCTACCCGAGCTTGCGAACTCATTTGTTGGTCTCCATTTTCGGCCTTCTGATTGAGCTTTCCTTTCTGAGACGTTTTTATTTGGAGTGTCCTGAGTTTTTCCAGTTCTTTGTTCATGTTTTTCAATCATTTAAAAACTGTCTTCAGGGCTAGAGGGATGACTCCACAGTTTAGAGCACTGACTGCTCTTCCAGAGAACCAGGGTTCAGTTCCCAGCACCCATGCGGCTGCTCACAATCATCAGTAACTCCCGGGTCCAGGGGATCTGATGAGCCCTTTTGGCTCATGGGCACTGCATGCATGCATATGGTACACAACTTTGCTATTTCCTTTCCCAGCAACCTCTTCGTGTCCCTTGCTCAGTGTGGCCCAAATCCCAAGTTACTGTTGTGAGCAGGAACTTGTGGATGAGCTGTGAGAAGTCACATTCAAAGGGACTGGCAGGCTCCATCCTGGCGGCCTACGGCATGCATGGAAGGCCAGGCCTTCCATTGCAAAGTGCCCTTCTGCCTGTCAATGGCACAGAAGTTCTCAGGTCTTGGCTGCTCTTTTCCTTCACCTGCACAGATGACATCATCTTGTGACCTGTGGTTGTCTGTGACCTATCCTTGCCAGTTTGGGGAATATAAAGATTGCTTTGGAAATTAGCTGTTAGTGGGGTTGGTGTTATGTAGTGATTTGGAGACTGTAAAAGTAGCATTGCCATTACCTTCTCCGTTTTTAAAGGTTTTCAAAAGGGGCCTGTTTTCTCTGCTCTGTCTGTCTTCACTGAGACAGACGGGGTCCTTCTACAACTACCTGCCTGGCTCCTGCCAACAGAAAACTCACCCTCCCTTTACAGAACACTCCTCATCCTTGCTTGATGTCTCCTCTTCCATGCTGTGAACTGGGCACTTATAGCACATCTAGTTCTTTTCTGACACTGAAGAGAGGTAAGTACCTGCAGTGTCTGCCCGAGCTGACTTGTTCAGCGACAGGGATGCTCACAGGAACTCAGATGTGATCTTTGGACTAGGTCTTTCCCAAATACATCCAATTTTGTTTGCTCCTCCCCCAGACCCCCTTTTGAGGATTTTAAGTCTTGGTCTCTCCTCTGTTGTCTGTATCACAAATGCCTTCACCATCCATCCCTCTCCTTCTGGTGGTATAAGATGTGCCTTGGTGTGGCTGGTTTCTTCCAAACCTGCTTCGATCTTTGCAGAATATATTGATCACAGGCCCTGCAGCTTTTGCACCTTGCACAGGGTTTGCAGAATATATTGATCACAGGCCCTGCAGCTTTTGCACCTTGCACAGGGTTAAGTCAATGCTAAGGGATGTTTGAAAGAGAGAATAAACAGCAGCCTTGAGACCTAAGCATATTAATGATGATAATCCAAAGAGAGGTCCTCCTACTGCCCTTCCCTTCCCACATCAGCAACATTACTTTCAATTTGCCCTTCAAGGACAGACAGGGAAGACAGCTGCAAAATATCAAAGCCGTGAACTATCCATTCTTGGGTATGAGTGACTACAGATCTGTGGCTTTCCATTTATTTATTCCCATTTTCCATTCTCTACTGACGTTAGAAAATCCTTTAGATTGTTATCAGTGTCAGATTTGCCCAAATTAGCACTGAAGTCCCAGAAATGTCAAAGACAGATTTATTCTTCTATTTAGCTTTCCATGAAAATATAAAAAGCTAAGCAAAAGAAAGTCACTAAGTTAATATACAAAATGTATTCCATTTTAAAAATGGCATTGACAGCAATAAATCTCTCGAATTGGAAAGGTTTTCCTGAAGGCAGCGGCCCTCACTTAGTGGAATATCGCTCTCTGAGCACGCGCACACTCAGGTTTGTTGAAGATTTCATCTTCTGTCTCGGGAGTGAGCTGGATGTTATCCTTGACTGGAGACAGGGGCTTCTTACAAGAAGAAATCTTTTCAGAATCTCTGCAAAAGTATAAGAAAACAAACTTGATTTTCAGGTACCGACTATTAGAGAAGCAACACCCTAAATGGAAAAGCTAGGGGCACATAAACCCTACTGTGAAATCTAGGGCAATTCATATGGTTTTATTCTGCATACTTCCAATATGTTTTGAAGTTTTCTTCGAGCCTCTTCTTGCTTTCAAAATCACCTTCCAATGTAGGTGCTAATCTATCAGTAACACACACACAGAATATAGAAGCAGAATCAAGAATGCAACACAGATTTTTTTTTTTCTCTTTAAATACAGGGTCTTAGCAAGTAGTCCTGGCTGACCTGGAACTAGCTATGTAGACCAGAAGGGCCTTGAACTCAGAGATGCTTCCATCTCTGCTGGATTAAAGGTGTGCACTTTAGTAGCCTCTTTATTGCCTTCAGCTAAGGATGAACATAAACAGCACAACTAACAATACTGTACCTTTGTGTTTTTAACCAAACTCCCTTCTGCTGGATTAATACTCCACACCTATTAAAAACCCAATTATGAATATAACACAGAACATTTTTATCTCCCCTAAATACATTAAACACCACTATGTTATTTTTTTCCCAATAGATCTTTAAGAACACTATCATAAACCGTGCTGGTGGTGCACGCCTTTAATCCCAGCACTTGGGAGGCAGAGAGTTCCAGGCAAACCTGGTCTACAGAGTGAGTTCCATGACAGGCTCCAAATCCTGTCTCAAAAAAGAACACCCAAACCCAAAACAAACAAACAAAAACAACAACATAAAAAAACGTATTATAACTTTGATTTCTTCTAACACAGGCTCTGAAAGTCCCATGCGCCCTGGAGATGAGGGTTGGTGGAGAATTCCCATAACAGACGCTTCTCTCAGCTTTGTAAGATCAGACTATTTTCATAATATTTGGACTCCCTGTGTTGACATTTGTACCAATAAATGTCAAAGCAAAATCCTGTACAAGCTGCCAGCAAGTCAATGTGGGTGCAGACACCAGGTCACATGCAGCCAGCACGACCCTCTGTTCCAGCCACCTCCACCAAGGGTAGCGAAAACAGGCAAACAGCCAGAGTGCATACATCTGATGGCCGGGAGTGGTGGAGGCAGGAGGTTCTCCGTGAGCTGAGGCTAGCCTGGTCTACATAGTGACTTCCAGGGCAGCTAGAGCTACGCAGTAAGAAGTATCCAAACCAGAAAAAGAAGAATGGGAAGCTCGTTAAGATGGGCATGGTGGTGCACTCCTTTAACCCCAGCATTTGGAAGGCAGAGGCAGGTGGACTTCTCTAAGTTTGAGGACAGCCTGGCGTCTTGCTGAACCAAGCTCAGGTGTTTAGGCTAGGCTCTCAGGATCTGCCTGTCTCCAGCTCCAATGGCTGGGCTATAGGTCAGGGAGACAAGCCTGGATTTTTAGGTGGATCCTGGGGATCCAGACTTTGGTCCCCATGCTCACAGAACAAGTGTTCTCAACCACTCAGCCAGATAGATCCACAGCCCCAGAATGACGAACTTCCCACAAATCTAAAGCCGCTGGCACCCTCTTAACATCCATATGACGTCTGCACCATGGGGTGCGTGTGGAGGTCAGAGGACAACTCAGAGTTGGTTTTCTCTTTCCACTATATGTACCCTGGCCTGGGGGGCGGGGGGGGGGGGCACGACTCAGATCTGCAGGCTTGGAGGTGAGCTACCTGAACTGCTCTTTTAAGTTTATTTAATGTTGAAAGTTTCCATTGAAGATTTATTTTGTTTTTAATTATATGTATGTGTCTATGCACGTGAGAGCAGCAGCCCACAGAGGCTAGAAAGGATATACTCTCCTGCCCCAAAGCTGAAGTTAGTTATAGGCAGTTGTGAGTTCCTGATGAAAACTAAAAATCTGCATGCCAATCCCAGTTCCCACTCTCTCCCCTCCTCCCATACCATCTACTTTTCCCTGTATCCCACGCCCCATCTACTCCTCAGAGAGGGTAAGACACATTGCTTTAAGGAAAGACCAAGGCCTTCCCTACTATACCTAGGCTGAGCAAGGAATCCATGCAAAGAGAATGGGTTCCCAAAAGGCCAGTACAAGCAGTAGGGATAAATCCTGGCCCTCAGTCTACCCCAGCCATACAACTGTCACCCACATTCAGAGGGCCTAGTTTGGTCCTATGCTGGTTCCTTCCCTGTCTAGCTGGAATTAGTAAGCTCCCATTAGATCAAGTAAGCTGTTTCAGTGAATGTCCCCATCATGGTCTTGACCTCTTTGTTCATATTCTCACTTCTCCCACTCTTCAACTGGATTTTGGAAGCTCAGCCCAGTGCTCCACTCTGGGTCTCTGCCTCTGTTTCCATCAGTTGCTGGGTGAAGGTTCTGTGGTGACTTTTAAGATATTCATCAATCTGACCACAGGGCAAGGCCAGCTCGGGCCTCCTCTCCTCTATTGCTCAGGGTCTTAGCTGGGGTCATCCTTGTGGCTTCCTGGGAGTTTCTCTAGTGCCAGGTTTCTGCAGCAGGTGCTCTAAACGAAGCCCTCCCCAGGGCTTCTTCAGATCTGCAGAGTATGTAACAGGCACAGTCTATAGCACATAGACCCCCTCTCTAGGCACTTTAACCACAGCACTTCCCTGTGCTGGATGTCAGTGTCAGCCAGAGAGGCACCAGTGCACAGCTGAGTTCCTTGTACTTCTCTACGGACCAAGCGTCCTATGGTAGAGTTGGCAGGAGTGGAGACATAGTCTCATAGGAAGCTTCCTTGGCGTTCCCAACGCCGTCTAGTCACGTCCCTAGAACAGGACTGGTGCCCAAACACTGGTCTGTGTGGTTACATCTGTGAGCACTGAGCCAACCAACACAGCTCCCACTGCCACTATTCTCATGCCAGCCCTGAGCAACGGGAAGCAAAGGAGCTTCCGGTCTGGAAAAGCAGCCCCCAGCTGGACTGAGAGCTGAAGGTGAGCAACAGAAACTGAGTCCCGCGAAAGCACAAAGAGCTGGGGTGTGGGCTACAGAAGACAGCGCTCTGTCCTGCTTCAGAGGTGGAGCCAGGACGCTCACTGCTCACTCACTTTTTAAACCCGAAGTTTTTCCAGAGCTCGCTGATCTTTATCTGCAGCCCTGGCTTGTTCTCCGCATCACGGTGTTTTCTCTTCTGGATGCTTCCTGGCTTCTTGCTCAGGCCACTGACTCGGGCTGGCACCAGGGGCTTGATCTTGGTGGTAGAAAGACAGTCCATAGAACTAGCCCTACACAGCCCAGGAACCTGGAGAGAAATTAGAATTTAGAATTGTTGTTATTTTGCTTGTTAGAGTTAAGAGTGGGTCTCCCCAAATGCCAGTTTTAACCTTCAGTTCTAAAAGACCCTAAGTGTTCTTTATATACCAGAATGGGAAAAGACTGCACATGCAATACAGATTTCTAAAGACGTCTACTATAGGAACGTCTACTATAGTCATGCAACAGGCAACACATGCCTGGCATAAAGCTTAAGTTAAAAAGCAAGTCTTACTCCCTCCCTCTTCACCTCATTTGAGAAGAGCTTGCTGGGTTCAGTGCAGCCACTAAGTGAGCTACACACACAGAAAAGTGTGAGGTTTTATTTTGTCTTCTTTGAGTTCATGTAATGATAAATCTTGGCGATTCCTGCATTCCAACATGAAACTGAATTGTATTTTGATGATGCTCTACTGTGTGAAGGCAGCATACATAACCAACTTAAATCTCTTGATAATTTTGTTTCTACTCAAGAGCTGATTTTTTTTTTTTTTTTTTCTTGTTTGAGACAAGGTCTCTCCCTAGAGTCCTGGCTGTCCTGGAATTCACAGAGCTTCTCTTGCCTGCCTCTGCCTCCCAAATGCTTGCGCCACCATACCCAGCCTTTAAGGGCAGATTTTTTTTTTTTTTTTTTTTTTTTGTGAGCACAGTAACTGGTTCCTAGGATAGAGAGGGAGGTGTGTGAATAAATGTTTAAAACTGATTAATCTGGCAGAGTGTACATAAAAGTCAAAAAATTAAGCAAAAGAACCCAGAGCTCTGCCTGGGTCCACAGTGTTTAGTATGTGAGAACCAAACATACATTTCAAGTTTTAATTATATGCCTAAGAGATCCAAAAATGCCTCTGCTCTGGAAGCCCCTGCCAAGGACAGACAGTTCCTGCAATGCAGGAGGCCACTGTTTAAGGGAGATAACAAGGGACTGTTTGTTTTCACTCCCTGGACAAGTTTGTTTGACCCGCCTGCACCAGACGTGCTTGGAGGGAGGTAGTAGGTAGGAAAGACGTCAGGTATGCATACTCTCTGATGGGAAATGAATTATGGGTTTTCCCTTTTAAGGCCTTGCAAAATTTGATTCTGGACCGTCTTCTGGAGATCCAGAGATGGACATGGCCACAGCCCATCTGCTTAGCCAGTATTTAAATTTAAGTTTGCTTCAAGTTTGGCCTGAAATTGTGGACGTGGTCTTCTTCTCAACCGGTGGGACCAACAGGTATTTTGGCAATACACAGCAAACCATTCTCACACTAGGAATAGTCAATCACCATGGACTTCATTCTCACAAATTAATTAGGGTAAACAATTATAAACTGGGTTATGTAATATATGTAGAAATACTTATTACTATGTACATGGAAAAAGATCTTTCAGAAACAGAGAAAAGAGGTTCCAACTAACATGTTAAGCATCCACAGCTGAGCACAAATAGTATCTAAAGAAGTTTGAAAGAGAGCATTTTTTAAAAAAGCAGAATACTGGTATTTTAATTTTTAATGTTTTGTGTGTATATTTCTCATTTTCTGGCAATAATTACACACTGCCTCTGAAAATAAAAAAACATAATTCTAACTGTTTTACCTTGTTCCTTACAAGTGTGTCCTTCTTTGAAAAGGGAGGCGACTGTTGCTTGGAGTTCTCACTGCCTTGATTATCAAGTGACGTATTGTTACAGTCCGATTCCTAGATTCCCCAGATGGAAGACAAAAATTTACTTCAGTGCTTTCTTCTTTGTTTGTTTTTCAAGACACGGTTTCTCTGTGTAAGGGCTATAGCTGTTCCGGAACTCTCTTTGTAGGCCAGGCGGGCCACCTGCCTCTGCCTCCCAAGTGCTGGGATTAAAGGTGTGCGTCACCATACCTGGCTTACTTGATTGAGTTTTTATGACAACTTGACCAATATTTAATTAACCAATTGTATGAAACGAGAAACTTGGATAAATAACATAATTTCATCAAAGACATAAAAACACAGGAAATAAAATGAACTAAACATGGGAAACAATGAATTAAGATGAAAAAGATATGTCAGTTTCACTCAAGAAAACACCAAAACGTTTTAGCTGAAGAAATATTCTACTAAATACACACTTATGATTTTGTGTGTGTGTGTGAATATATATATATGTATGTGTGTGTGTGTGTGTGTGTGTGTGTATAAAATTATGATTTTAGGGAAGCTAGTCACTTCAGGAGCCTGTCAAATGCTGACGCACAAAGTGCTGATCAGATGGTGCTTAGCCCTAAGTGGGATGCCTTTCTCAGCCCCCAGCCCTGCCAAAGGTCAGGGGACGTCTCAGAAAGAGCAGGAGGGGAGAGGTACTGTGAAATGCTGTCCTCTGGACATGGTGTGACTACCACACACACGTACCCACACAGCTGTGCAAACTAACACCATACACACATACCCACACAGCTGTACAAACTAACACCATACACACATACCCACACAGCTGTACAAACTAACACCATACACACATACCCACACAGCTGTGCAAACTAACACCATACACACATACCCACACAGCTGTGCAAACTAACACCACGCACATGTAACTGGAGTTACAGACAGTTGTGAGCTGCCCTGTGAGTGCTGGGAATTGAATCCAGGTTCTCTGGAAGAACAGTCAGTGCTCTTAACCACTGAGCTATCTCTCCGGTCCTGGAAACAGGAGGATTTTGAATAAAAATTGAGAAAGTCAGTTCATTTCTACAATGCTGGCAAAATTTTCTCAACTGTCTGATCAACACGCAACTTTTTTCCTGCGGTTGAGTCTGAAAGCAAAGATAGCAGACACAGACTCACCTCTGAATCCGAATCCTTACTGGAAGGCTGGGAAAGACTCGAAGCATTTAAACTGTACAGAGAGTCTATGCTTTCCTGAGATCGGGAGGCCTGGCCCACCTCATGCAAGGGCGGAGACTTAGTACTTGACATCTCATTCTTTGACTGACAGGTGTCAGTCACAGCACAGGTCTTGGGCAGCCAGGTGGAGGACTCGCTCCTTCTGCGGAACTGCTGCAACACAGTGCTTGGAGAGGGACTGGGAGTTCTTGAAAAATCTCTCAGAGTTCCTGACCAACTGAAACAACTTCTTAGTGTCCCCAGAGTGGGCGGGGAAACAGTCCCCACAAATTTGCTGGTCTCAGACTGAGCCTCATCATCAGGAGACACAGTCTCATTGCCTGGGATCTGAGCACTTGGATCCTGTGTCCCATTTACAGCAACCAGCTTCTGGCCCTCTGTGTCTGGACTGTCTGACGCTCCAAGGCCCTCTGTGCCTGGACAGTCCGGTGCTCCGAGGCCCTCTGTGTCTGGACTGTCTGATGCTCTGAGACCCTCTGTGCCTGGACAGTCCGGTGCTCCGAGGCCCTCTGTGTCTGGACTGTCTGATGCTCTGAGACCCTCTGTGCCTGGACAGTCCGGTGCTCCGAGGCCCTCTGTGTCTGGACTGTCTGATGCTCTGAGACCCTCTGTGCCTGGACAGTCCGGTGCTCCGAGGCCCTCTGTGTCTGGACTGTCTGATGCTCTGAGACCCTCTGTGCCTGGACAGTCCGGTGCTCCAAGGCTTTCGGTGCTTGGACAGTCCGGTGCTCCGAGGCCTTTAGTATCTGGACAGTCTGGTGCTCTGAGACTGGTAGTGGCTTTGCCTGTTACAGCAGTTTCATTCAGAGGTTGAATGCTTGCTTTTTTAGGTACGAAGTTGTCAAAATCTGGAGAACTGCAAAAAAACCTAACAAGAAATAGGAAGAATGGATTATCTTAAGTATTTTCAGGTCTACTCACAAACCTATCAAGATTCAAATATCTACTTTCTAACATAAAGACCACAAAGATCTTGAATTTTAATTGAGGTTTAAATCCTTTTTTTGTTTTACTTTTTGACACAGGGTTTCTTTATATAGTACTGTCTGTCCTTGAGCTCACTATATAGACTAGGTTGGCCTCAAACACATAGAGATCTACTTGCTTCTACCTCCCAATGCTAAGATTAAAGACTTGCGCCACCATGCCTGAGTTGCAATTTTTATCATGATAACACACACATCTTTAGAAAGTTATTTATATGGTAAGCCTTTAGATAGAAGACAGGATCTTGGATTTTTTAATCCCTGCACTTGGGAAACAGAGACAGGGGGATCTCTGTGAGTTTAAGACAAGCCCAGCCTACATAGTTCTAGGCCAACCAGAAAACAAACCAAAATCCTGTCGCAGGTCACAGCTGACTATTCCCAATTAGTTATTGTGTCATTTGGTATATTTCTAGATCTTAAAAGATAAGCTGAGGGGCTGGAGAGATGGCTCAGTGGTTAAGAGCATTGCCTGCTCTTCCAAAGGTCCTGAGTTCAATTCCCAGCAACCACATGGTGGCTCACAACCATCTGTAATGAGGTCTGGTGCCCTCTTTTGGCCTGCAGACATACACACAGACAAGAATACTGTACATATAATAAATAAATAAATATAAAGAAAAAAAAAGATAAGCTGAAATATTTATAGGAAAGGTGTTGTCATTAATAAAGATAACTAAGATAAGACAGATCAAACAGCTTCTCAAAATACTGTAAAAGAAACAATGGGAAATGGAAAGAGAACCCTAAAAGGACACTCTGACCACAGTGACCTGCAGGGGCGCCAGTCTTCTTTCACTCGGATTCTGTAAAGACAGATCCCAGAACCAATGGCGTGGGAAGGAATCGATGCATCCCGGTCTGAACTAGGGTCACCCAGGAAAGGTGGCCTCGGACATGCCTGTTAGAACCCTTTTGACTGGGCTGACGTAGATGAAGGCTCGCACTAGAGTCCTGGGCTAGAGCTCTGAACTGAAGACAAACAAGCTGGGGCTCGCTATCTTCCTCTTCCTGACTGGAGGTGCAAAGTGACAGACCAGCTGCCTCCTGCTCCTGACACCTTTTCACACACGTGAAGGACTGCACTCTTGGAACGTGACCCAAAACAAACCTTTCCTTCATCACGTGACTTTTTTCTAGCAGACACTTTTGTCTCAACAACGGTAATGTAACGGAGACCTAAGGCAGCTAAGAAAACAGGCATGCAGCAGGATCCCGCAGAGAATGCTACATCCAGCTTAAAGGGCGCTCTGGAGACCCGGTACCTGCTTCTGGTGCCCGGAACTACAACTGCACCACTGTCCGCGTTCTTCCTCTGTAAAAACACTGCGAATTTATTCCTTATCCTAGACGGAGTGTGTGCATCTATCCCGTGAACCATCCCATTATCCAGGTTGGGCACAGATATTTCGGAAGAGTTAGAAGATGCGCTATCTCCACAGCTGTTTTTCTTGGTCTTCTTTGTAAATGACGAATACTGACCCAATAGGTCATCTTCGGACAGAGCCTCTAAACAAAAACAGAACCATACATAAACACCTGGGCTTCCTCTGTTGCTGGCTACTTGCCACAGATTTTACATCCTGAGCCCTGGTGTCCTAAAGGCAAAGCCTCCTTTTTGTCCCACACATGCTGGGCAAGAGCTCGCAGCAGCCATATACCCATCCTATTTTGTTTTTTGAAAGCTATGCCTCGTAAAAGGATATATTAAGAATGACTGAAAAACAATGACCTTAACCGTGTTATACAACTTTGCAAATTAGTTAACATTTAACGTCAATTTTCTGTATGATTTTATATGAAATTACTCTAACCAAAATTTTAGAGCATAACAGCTTCTGAATGACTGACTTTATTTTTAGCTTAAGTGTAGAAAACAATTAGAGGGAAGCTTATATATAAAGCTATAATTAATGATTCAAAGTTTTTAATATCCCAATAAAACCAGCAACTATTTACCCTCCGTGGCAGTTGCTGAGGTAAATATTCTAGCTTGGCTCTTCATTACCAAGCCCCGAGGCCAAGAGTTGTTGGATCAAATGTGGAATACAAATATTTTACACACAGATACAATATAACCTAAAATGCAAGACACAGGAGTCACAGTTTCAAAAATCTACGTGGAAGTTTAAAATGTCACTGTGTTTGGCTTTAACAGCAACTGGAGAAATTCGGCCTAGGCTCAGCCAGTGACAGAAACAATGACAAGGACATAACAGGAGCCATCAGTAAAAGCCGCCTTGCAGAAGGGCTCGAGTGCCACCAGGGCACACTTGACCGCTGTCTGCATAGCCAACCACACTGACCACCACAGTCAGTCACAGTCTCGCCATGACTAAGGAGCTCAGGTATACCCAAAGTACAGAGAACTAGAAACTGAAATAACATCTTCAAAAGGATCAAAACCTGAAAATATAAGGATGAATTTGACAACTGATTCAACATCAGTACACTGAACAAAAGATCTCTGAAGTCTTCAAAAATAGTAACTTTTAAGATACCACTTGCTCTAAATTATTGATTTAAATCCTCAAAGCCACCCCCCCCCCCCTTTGGCTGTCATGGAACTTACTCTGTAGACCAGGCTGGCCTGACTTCTCTTAAGTGTGACCTGCAAATGCTCTCCCCGTGCCACCCACATAATTAAGTGCTAAGCTCCCATCTGTATGACAGAACCATGCTAAGTGCACTAAAGCAAACGTATTAAGCGATGCCCCGCTGCGGTCTCCCTCTGGATTAACGCCGAGCGGTCTTGCCGTAGCTGATGCCGCAGGTTTACAGCCATTTGCACCCTGCTCCACATCATTTCTGCTCCCTCTTCCCCATGATCACCGAGGAAGAGGACCCATAACCAACAATCACCACATTTGGAAAAAATGAAGTACATACCATTTCTTGGTCTCTTTACCATGGAAGACTTCCTGGGAAGATTTAACCCTTTAGTGGTAATTACTTGTTTAAGGCCCAGAGTGCTTGAATTTTCCATCAACCGAGGAGCATGGGAAACACCATTCGCCTCAAGTCTAGGACAATAGTTTCTGTGCCATATGCTATTAGGTGACTTCTGACACACTTTGTCATTCCAGCTATAACTTCTTGAGTGGACAGGCTAGAAAAGAACAAGGAGGAAGGTTATAGCAGTGTTCAGTTACTGTTCAAAAGAAAAGCTTTAGAGCACGGTCTGATGGCGCAGGCCTGTGATCCCAGCTACCCAGGGGGTTGAGGAGGGAGGACCAGGCTACCTAGTAAGTTCAGGCCCAGTCTGCGGGACTTAGTGAGCAATTTCAAATTCAAAGGGGCTCAGTGGTGGAGTGTCTATCAAGTGTGAGGCCAAGAGGGAGTCGGGAGGGAGGGGAAGGAAGAAAGGAAGCGAGGGAGGGAAGGGTCCTGAGGAAGTCTATGCTTTAGTAAATTTTTAAGTCTCTTCTATTAATACAAGCTGTTTAGGCTCACTCATAAGCTAGCAAGATTTCATGAGTACCCTGCCTTGTGTTTGACCTCTTCACCGCTGCCTTCCTTACACGTATTCTTTACGATGCCGTGTCCTGGCAGTCTGCACTGTCTCTTCTGTGCATGTTTACTTCTTCCGTAAGTTCTTTTAGTTACTATGACTTCTTTTGTTCTTTGAGAATTCATGCATGTTGTACAGTGTTAGGCCATTGGTGCACAGAACCTGTGTATCTCATTGTTTGGGGAATCATGACTGAGAAGGCAGTCTGGGATGTGCTGGCTGTGCTGTCTTTACACATTTAAATTAGCAAATTAATCTCCAGCAGCCAGGAGGCAGGGGCAGGTGGATGTCTGTGAGTCTGAGGCCATCCTAGTAGACATAGTAAGTTTCAGGACACTCTGCATAGCACTGAGTACAGAAATACTTCACAGCTGCTGGGCAAAGGAAGATCTGCCTCAAAGTTCTTAAGACAAAACAAAAATGTGCTTTTATAGTTTTTAAAATGTTACCATAGTGTCGGGACTGTAGTCGTCAATCTGCTCCAAAGTATTTACATCTCTGTTTCCAAGGGCTATTTGCAGAGCCACAGAATCATCGACATACCTGGTTGCTAAGGCTAAGGAGAAGGTCCTTATTAACAAGCAATCGAATCATACGGCACTAAGAAATAAAAATGCTGTCTATTACCACAGAGAATCTTCAAGGTTTATGACGTACAGAGATCCCATCTACTGTTCACATCAGCATCCAAGGACAGGCAGGGTTGCTGGCCTGTTTCCCTGCAGGAGCTGCCCGTCTTCTAGAAGAGAAGCCCGAGTCAATTCCTCCCTTCCTAGAGATGTGTGGGGGAAAGTCCTGGCTGCTCCCTAAGTGATTCTGCAGCTGCCTGAGTACTGGTGACCAGAAACACTCCTGAGGAACCAGGCTAGCCTCCGTCTCGGGCGACACTTCTGATGTGTTTGCTAAGAGCAAGGGACCTGGCGCCAGTGCAGTCAATTCACTTGCTACACAGACGAGCCTCGGGTTCATATTCAACAACTTGACTTTTCACTAGCATGGTTTTCTGAAGTTGAGTGGAATATGACCATCGGCACCATAAAATATAAGGCCGATCTTCGAGTTTTTCTTTTCCACTAAGGTCTCACTAGAAATAGTGTGCCATTACCAACAACGCTAACAGGGTAAATGAGAAACTGCACCACGTGGCTCAGAAAGGATACTGCCCAGCATAACTCAGGGTGTCCGGGTTAACGTCATCTCCGTAAGCATTCAGAGGGACCAGCTTCCTTTGGATGGGGTCGAACACCAGCTGGTAGAGGAAAGTATTGTTGGCTCGAATAAATCCTGTGATGTAATCCTCAGGCACCGTTATGTTCATCTTCAGGTAATGCCCAATTTTCTTGATAACCTAATAATGGATGTAAAAATATCTCATGAAAAGCTGAAGAGGAGAAGTGTGTTGGTCCCACACCTGACACTGGAGAGTGAGGCAAAAATCAAGTGATTTTACCCAAGAACACGGCCATACCACATCACCCAAAACTCAGGTTCCATGCCCACTTTTGCACTCTTCATCCAAAATGCAAAATATCTGGCTTATGTCAAGTATACATTTCTAGAAATACTGTTTTTATCCTTTTGGCAACTGATGCCGAGAACAGGGACCCTGCAGAGATAAGCCCCCTTTGTCAGTAAGAACAGGACTTCATCTAAAGGTTTCAAGAGCTAACTGGGTAAGAGACCAGGCAAGAGAGAGGGGGAAAGAATTGAAAAATTTTGAGAAGTCATGGGCCATAATGAGTCTGAAGAAAGATGTCTCTCTACAGACATAATGCAGCATACTTTAAAGAAAAGGGGAATTAAAGTTAATACTTCATAATTGATTGTTTCCCTACCATGTGTAACAGCAATGCAGTCCTTGGTTCCCAGATCAGGGAACTTTAAATTTAGAAATCTGGGATAGAGTAGGAAAGGATATTCAAGTTTGGGACCACAAAAAATGTTAACTGAACCTTTTTCTTATTGGAATATTCTGAGACAAGCTTTAGATATTAATAAGCCCCAAGAAATATTTAGGTACTTCACCATTCCCCTACGGTGGTCCCTGTTGGACATGTTTCACACTCCATTCTGTTCATGTAACTTCACGGGATGCCGTAACATGAAAGCAGTGACTACTAATACTACCAATCCGATGGGAGCAGAAAGGACATTCTCACATTCGGCATAAAACTAGTGCTAATGTTTCTTTTGGACACAGCGAGAGACCTCCTGTGTGTTTTACTACCAACACAAGAAATGTGCCTCCAGGATGCACGCATCTTATGCCTCGATATCTGCCTGCTGATTCTCCTAGCACACCTGGACAATGAGACATCTGGGTTCTACCAGCTCACCGTTTGTAATGCCTATGTGAACTTATGAGTCACCACCTCCTGACATTCCTCCTAGTAAGACCATGGGTGGGATTTGGGAGCATATTAGCAAGACTATGGGGTGTCCTTATCAGTAAGGCTGTATTTTTCCTAATCAAGGAGTTGCTATTCCAATTCCTCTCACACCTTTACAAATTCATGATTGGTTTATATCCAAAAAACAAAGCAAACAATAAATCTGAGAACTGAATAGTTCAAGACCATCCTGGGCTACACAGCAAGTTCAAGGGCACTCTGGTATTCATAAAAACTTGTCTCAAAAATATTTGAATGGGGGTGGATTGAGATGGTGCAGGAGGGGCTAATAGTTCTGCTTTGTGATTTCTGTTAACAGAAAGAGCTTTTTGCTAACAGAATATTAAGTGAATGAATATTAGAATTTTGTTTGGATTTCTAAAACTGTGTATTGAGAGCTATAACCCATATAATCAAAAGCTATTACCACACAGAACTTTTCAGAATATAAAGATCCTTAGACCAGAAGGCTTGAGAACCGCTCCCAGGTACTAGGATCCAGAATTCAAGAGTTTTCAAGTCTAGACACCTTTTCCCTTTGGTAACACGCACAGGCTATAGATTAAAATTCAGAACCCACTTTGAATTTGAAGTCCCCCTGCCATCTGACTGCTCCTTCGTGGAGCGAGGGTCCCTCCTACCTTGACGATATCTGGGTTATTGGCCAGTCTCAGCACTTTGCAGGCCTTTGCTAAGCCGATCCCACGCAGGGAGGAGAGGTAGTCGCAGCCTGACAGGATACACATGTACCGAAACTTCTCCTCCGTGAACACGTCCCCAAGCTGCTTGCACATGCCCAGCCGGGCCTGGTCCACTTCCAGTCCATTTCCAAAGTGGTCCATTTTCAAAACCACCTTCACACAGAGGGAAACGGTGAGTACCCGGGAAGGCCACGTCGTTACCGTTATCTGGATCACACCAATGCTAAGGAATCGCTCTTGCTCCAGAACACACGCTTTTCTTCTGACCCTCTTTTACATTCTAAAGTGGCCAGTCTTCTATTACTGTCATAGGGGCAATATGTGCTTATTGCAGGAAATTTAAAAATCCCGAAGTTGTCCACACCCCGTTTATGAATCACCCAGAGTTAAGATTCTGACAAGCATCCTAGCAGTTTATGAAGAAGCATAATCATATTACAGCTGTTATCAAAAGGGAACCACCTATGGTTTTGTATCTTAACTCCTCCTTTAATAGACCATTATAAAGTTTACCATTCAATTGGTTAATACATTATTTCTAAATAATAGAATAATATCCCTGTCACTGATAAGTTCGTTTACAAAACCTAATAAAAAAAAATGTAAGACGTGAGTTATTAATATTAAAAAGTAAAACTAGCCAGGCCTGGTAACACAGGTTGGGAGGAAGGAGAACCCGGAGTTCAGGCCTGCCCAGGCTAGTAAGTTGAGTCCGAGCCCAGGCTGAGCAGTTCAGGGAGATTCAGTCAGAGTGGAGTGACGAGGGCTGTGGCCCAGTGGTAGAGAGTGCTTGTCTAGCAGTCAGAGGTTCAGCCACACACACAAAGTCAACTAAAAGACAAGCTAAACACTAAAGCATTCACAGGTGGAGGTGTAGCTTAGTGGTAGACACTTGTCTAGCATGCATAAAGTCCTGGGATTATTAGCAGAACCCACAAAAGCAAACCAAACCCAATTGATAAAGCAATTCAGTGATACCAAGTGCCATGAACAAGTACTCCAGGTGAGGTCTTTGGCTCCCCAACATACACAACCCCCTCCGCCCCATAGCAGCAGCTGCAGTCCAGTACCTTCTTACAGCCAAAGGCGAGGAGGTCCGAGTCCTCTGTGATGACGGCTTGCACAATTCCAGTTTTGTTAAGATAGGCTAACTGAGCATCAGCTTCATAGGGAGCCACCAGGCAGTCCACTCCCAGGGCCCGAGCAGCCTGTGAGAGACCACAGTGAGCTTGCAGCCCAGCATCAGAACGGCACGGTGTCACCAGCCGCACACACATGCCCATAATACTTTCTAGAACCCATGTCCTTTGAAGCAGAATCGTTCTCCTTTTAGTTGGAATACATTATACACTGCTTTGTTTTAATGAATTTATATAGGCCTGGCTGACAGCTCACTGGCCACATAATTCTGAAGACCTTAGTTCTGATCCATAAAGAGACGAGTCCTACACAGTCTATATGTGACTCCAGCACCACTACAGAACAGAAGGCGAGACAAGGATCCTTGGAAGCTGGCTGGTGGCATGAACTGATAAATAGCAGAGACCCTGCCTCAAGTGAGGTTAGAAAGGGAGGACGTACAGTCAATGCTGTCCTGACCGCCCTAATCAACCTGTGCTGTGTGCATGCCTGAGCACACACACACCTGAAAAAAAATCAATTTATGAATTTGAAGAAATTCTGCAATATATTTGGTAGTAGTGGTGATTATATAAGTTTCTACCTTAAGAATTGTTATGCTCAGAAGGTAAACAGGATACTTGTTTGAACCTGTCCAAGCACTTTTCCCTCTAAAGACTGCAGGCTGCCTCGTCAGGCAGAAGGCCTGTCCAGACCCTAATCGCTGCAGCTACATCATGGGAAATACATCCCTCTGCCTTTCTCCTTCCTCCCTTGCCTACCAAGTGCCCCCGTGACACCACCACTTGTGTCCAATCGCGATTTCTCCTCTACTGCACACGGAACTCTCTTCAGGGGCAACAGAGAGCACATGGTTTCTGTGTAGCTCACTCTGGCCTATAATCCCCTTGCTTTCTGAATCAAGCCATGACCAACAATCAAAAGAAATGTCTACACGACAAGGAACTATGGGATAAGCCCCAGGGCGCTATTTTAGCTCAGAACCAGGTGACAGGACAGCAGGGTACACACAGCTGTCCACGACTTTATCCTAACTTTAAGAAGCAATCTCAACACAAACCTAGGACAAGGAAAGTGGGGGCTGAGACTAAGATCTGGGTGAGGGGTGCTTAGGAGCTCCACAGCAGGAGCAGACTCTGGGGTTCTGCAGAGCCCCTCAATCAGAGTCAGTGGGCCACCTCTCTGGCCATCATTCAGAAAAGAACGTGAGTTGATGGTTAAAGGCACATTCGACCACAGTGGGGTAAGAAACAGGCCCCAGGGAATCCGCCCCTTGCATCTCTGCACACAGCACCCCAGGCAGAGCTTGAGCTCGGTGCCTTTGCTGCTTCTCACTGACTCACTTTTATCACTTTGTGGGCCATGGCGTGTGTGATGTTGACAGAGCGGGTGAAGCAGTCCCGTGCTTCCGACACCTTGCCCTCTCGCAGGAGCTGCTTCCCCTTAAGAAGGTTGCTTTGTCGTCTCCTGAAGGGGAAACACATGGTGAAATATAAATACTTACAAGCAGACCCAAGAAGCAATAGGAAAACTGCAATTACAGGGATTTTCTAGAATGAAAGAGCTGAACTCATTTAAAACGGCACAACAGATCTGCTGGCATATCAGCCTGGGCAGCTCAGGCTAGCCTCACACTCACTAAGATGACCCAGGACCCTGGACCCTACTGCCTCTGCTTCCCATGTGCTGGGACTACAGACAGCATCATCTCTGCAGCTGAGCACGTGACTGATAATGTATGCAGCCGACTGACGGCCAACTTTACCACAGCAATGTTTCATGTCAAAAGGTAATTATTTTTAAACGTGACAACAATCTAACACAAACAGATCATTTAAGGGAATGTGCTCACATACTACGCTGTACAAGAAATCAAGATTTTAGAAATTTAGTATCATACATCCCAAAGTGTCTAGTCTTAGCACAGCTAAGCCAGATGCTAAGTGTGGAGTCAACTTACTCTCGTCGAGATCTCTCCACTTCCTTTTTAGAAGGTAAGGTACATCCATCAAAAACGAGAATGGGCTTGACCCCATGGGACAGCAGCATATTAACAAACTTCATACAAAATCCTACATACCTATGGGATGGAAAAGGAAAATGGAAAATTCATTTACATGCTTTGACTCTCTTAATTTTTCTTTTCTTTATTTAAGACCAGATGACAGGAAGGACTGTGAGGCAGGATTTTGGTATTTGACACTAAACTTTCCAAAGGAAACAGAGTTAGATGGTTCAAATCCTGCTGTGAGTACTTACAGGGCACATGGTGGTTATCAAGTTATTTGACTCTCTAGGTCAGCAGTTCTCAACCTATGAGTCATGACCCCATTGGGGGATTGAATGACCATTTTTAAAAAGTTTTTGAGAAAAAAAAAATAAAATAAAAAGTTTTTGAGACAGGATTTCTCTCAAGCTTTGGAGCCTGTCCTGGAACTAGCTCTGTAGACCAGGCTGGCCTCGAATTTACAGAGATTCATTTGCCTCTGCCTCCTGAGTGCTAGGATTAAAGTCGTGCACCACCACTGCCCAGCTTGAATGACCCTCTCAAGAAGTTGCCTAAGAGTATCAGACATAACAGATATTTACGATTCATAACAGCAGCAAAATTACAGTTAAGAAATAGCAATGAAAATAATTTTATGGTTGGGTGTCACCATATTAAAAGGGTGCAGCATTAGGAAGGCTAAGAATGACTGCTTTAGGACTTTCTCAATTATAAATTAAAAGCCTCTACATCTTCCAATTTTCATATTTTACTGTTATTCCAAATATTTTTTTATGTTTCTATTAAAAATTGATTTGAAACATCTCAAATCTATTGCAAAGTTTTAAGAATATAATACTTGATACCATCATACCCAAGAGAAAGTATTATCTACAATTCACCCTACATGAAATTTCATCCACTAGTGCCAATAATGTGTCTCAGGACTGGTGATAGCCTAGTTAACGCTGACAACACGGTGCCCACGGTGTCTGATTTCCACACACTCCACAGCAACACATAAGCTCTGCCAACTCGCAGCCAGGATGCTGAGGGAAGACCCAGCAAACAGTGTCATTACTGTCCCCACATCCAAAACCCAATGATACTTAAGCTAAGCTTTCGAATCAAATGCAGTCACCTCTGTGACCACTTGCTGTATTCTTTGCTGTGGACAGTGACAAGGGTACTGCGCAGGGGACAATAGTGGTGACAGCTCTATTAAACATCAAAGAGCAGATGGAAGCAAACAAGGAATAGTGATGTTTTAAAGGGAACTCTCAGCTCTTCCTGACTAGAAAGCATAAAGCACCAGGTAGCATCACTCTTCTCACTTCCAAGTTAGAACGTGTTTTAACTTCAACATGCTGACATCAATCTCTACAATGACCGTAAGTGTTTATAATTAGCTTATCGTCAAATTCCAAAGTAGTGACCATTTCTGGCTAATACTGCTATCCCAGGAAGGAAGAAAAAGTAAGGCAATTAAGTATACCATATGACTTCTAAGTTGTCAGGAGAAATTTTAAATTCAAAGCAGATATTAAGCATTTTAGTTTTATCGATATTTAATGAGTGTCCATCATAGAGTGGGCCCTGTGGATTTCATCTCTCACTTTTCATTTTTTCAAAGATTTATTTACCTATTATGTATACAGTATTTGTCTGCATGTATACCTACATGCCAGAAGAGAACACCAGATCTCATTATAGATGCCTGTGAATCATATCATGTGGGTGCTGGGAACTGAACTCAGGACCTCTGGAAGAGCTGCCAGTGCTCTTAACCACTGAGCCACCTCTCTAGCCCTTCTTTCTAATAATAAAGGATACTGCCTGTATTTTAAAACTTCTTCCAATTAATCAAAAATTTAAATCAAAGGCTGGAGAGTTGGCTAAATGATCAAAAATGCTGGCTGCTCTTCCACTGACTGCTCCTCCAGAACCTGGGTTCAATTCCCAGCATCCACTACTGCCTATAACTCTAGCTTCAAGGGATCCAATGCTGTCTTCTGGTCTCCTCGGGTACCAAACATACAAGTGGTACACAAATATATAGGAAGATAAAACACCAATACACATTAAAAAAAAAAAGTATCTAAAACCAGAAACTAAGTTTTCTTGTAATGAACTATTCAAAGAAAGCCAGTTGTAGTTTGAATAAGGATAACCCCCGTGGCTCATATATTTGAATATGTGGTTCCCCAGTTTGTACAACTATTTGGGATATTTGGGAAGGATTGGGAGATAAGGCCTTGCTGGAGAGGTGTGTCATTGGGAGTGGGCTTTAAGATTTAACAGCCCACACCACACCATCCTGTTAGCCCTCTCTGCCTCATGCTTGTGGTTTCAAATTTAAGCTCTCAGCTACTCTCAGCACCATGCCTCCCTCCCTGCCTGCCTACGGCCGTGCTCTTCGCCATGAAGGATTCTAACCCTCTGAAGTAAGTTGTCTTGGTCACGGTAGAAAAGGAACTGAGACACCAGGGGTAGGGGTGCAGTGCCATAAACCCAGTTTGGGAAGCTGAAGTGCGAGTGAAGGAATTCAGGGTCATCCTGGGCTATCAGGTAAGGTTAAGGCCCACCTGGGATACTTAAGACCCTGCCTCAAAAAATATAAAAACAAACAAAAAACCCACAAAAATCAAACACGGAAAGTAGTAATAAAGTGTGGGCTTTTCTTTTTAAAAAGCTAAAATGGTACGGCTTTATTTTCAGAAATTAAAAAGCAATTATACACACATACATGCAAAAAAGGATGTGTGTGAAAAACAGCATAGTTTTATATATGAACACATGTGAACCTGCCCTAAGTGAGGTCAGAGTTCAGACTGATGACAACAGGACCCACCAGTTTTGGCCAGAACATATTGTCCCTTTCCTTCATTTTGCTAATGGAGATTAGCGGTGTGTTATGGGAAAACATCATGGATTCTGAAAATGTTGTTAAAAAGTTTACAGTGGGGGGAAAAACAAAGGCTTCTCTTAAGCAAAGAAAAAAGAGTTAACTTTTGATTTTTGCCTGTCCATATCATGCTACCCTGACTTCTTATCAAGAACAAAAGTCAAGTCTGTAGCACAGAAGGAAGTCTGGCAATATTCTAAACACACGTCCTTAATAAATGCTAGTATTTATTGAAACAATGACCAGAAAAACAAAAACAAGCAAACAAATGAAAAGCACCAGAAGCCGGAACTATAGCACAGTTCATAGAGTGTTTGCTTAGCATGCATGAAGCCCCGGGCTCAGTCCCTGGCATTACATGAAACTGGGCGTTGGTGGTGGAAGCCTGTAATCCCAGCACATGGTAGGATTCCTCCTCCAGGAAGGAGAAGCATCCTTGGCTATAGCAAGTTCCAGGCCAGTCTGACATACCTGAAAATTGTCTCAAAAACAAAAAGCACCAAATCATCCTACATTGTAAACAAACTAATACACACTCCAAACTTACCTATCTGTAGGTTCCCCTTTGGCTAGCTTTTCAGCACAAGCAATAGCTCCTTTGTGGAGCCAACAGTAGGTATCCACAGCTACTGCCTGCCCTTTGTATTTCTTCACGTTGATGGGTTCCGAAGCTTCCTTGATGAACTGAAGCAGTCCCTGAATCCCCATGGTGTCAAGTTAACTACATGGGGACGAAGGAAAAGGGAAGACAACAAAATTACAGCAAGACCTATTTACCAACAAGTCTTAGAAAAACAAACCCAGCCCGGAGCCTAGCACAGAAACTAAGAGCCTTCTCCCTGCCAACTTCAGTAGCTCAGAATTTCATTCATCACCAACACTAACTTGAACACCTCTGGGTGGTTTCTTGGTTAGTCTTTCCAAAACACTTTCATACTTGGAATCCTAACATGGGCTCTTATCTCTTAACACAGTCCTGGGCACGCAAAAGTCATTAAAACTTTAAGTCTCTCTCAAAAAGATAGCGTTGAAAGCCTACAAAACTGTGCACTCTATGGTATTATATTCAGCACTACAAAAAGGCATTAAAGGGCCACATCCAAATCTGTCATGTATAAACTCAAAAGTTAGGAGGTAGACAAACATTTCAAGTGAAAGGTAATCAGAATTATGGAAACAGAGCTGTACTTTTATATGACACCAATCCAACACCATCAGAATGCATTACTCCAAACAAGATTAAGTAATAAAGTAATAAGCCTTGGTGGAGTCTAGGGACCATTTCATCAGACTCACTGAATGCTGTACTCAAGCAACGTGAAAACATATTGGCTGCGCAAAAACAGCTTCAAGAAAAACACTTTTAATTTCCACTCCCTTCTAGCCCCTTACATGGAAATCCTGGAGCTGCAACTAATCCTCCCCTCTGCAATCCCAGCACTTTCTCGGCACTTCCCAGTACAAGTATTTCTATCAAAGACCACGTTTTTAATTTGTGTTGGGTGTGTGTGTGCGCATGCGCAATGACTGTGTGGGTACAAGCACTCAGAGGCCAGAGCAAGGCATAGGGCACCCTCCTCCACTGCTCTTTACCTATTACTTTGAGGCAGGGCATGTTACTGAACCAGCTAGGTCCCAGTGAGCTCTTGGGATCCATCATCTGTGCCTCCCGATGCCGGGGTTACTGGCATTCACAGCCCCTAGGGATTTTAATAGGGGTTCTGGGGACTCTAACTCGGGCCCTCATGTTTGCAAAAGAAAGTGCTCTTACCCACTCTGAGAATTTTTTTCTTACATGTATCATGCATGCATGTTGGAGTTTCAGTGGGAGCATAGGGGCCCCGGTTCACCTTGTCTCAGGCAATCTTTTGGTTGTTCGAGATGCATATTCAGCCTCGTTGGGACTCCTGGGTTTCTCCGTTTGTAAGCCTCCCCACCCTCAGCACTGGATGACAGGATCAGGCACCTGGCTCACCAGGCCCAAGATCATATTCTTACTACAGGATAGGAAGTCAGCGGTGCCAGTTGACACCACAGGAAAACAGCAAGGCTCTTGTCTAGAATCCAGAGGTTCTTAGACCTTTAAAGCCACGCCCAGCAAGTATGATTTCCTAGAGGGGGCATGACTTCTGAATTTTAAACATCGGGCAATTTGGACGCAGGTGGACCTGCAGCCACGATTTGAGTAAAACAATGAGTCCACTACCTTTAAAGACAATGTCTCTAAAATGTGTGTTCGTGCATGCTGAGGGAAAAAAAGGGCATAATTACATTTCATGAAACTTCGGTTTCTTCTAGGCTAAGTAAATCTCGAGTAAATATTTCCTCGTTAGGACAGGAGCGACGGAGCGCCATATGGCACACCAACCCCAGGAGATCGCCCGTGGCACCCGAGCTGACAGCAGCCGCGGCTTCACCGAAGTCCCGTCTCCCAGGAATGAACAGGCATGACTCGCAAACCCATTTCAGGCGCTGCGGTTCCTCAAACCTGCATATGAAACATACAGAAAGGAAACTCCTGGACGTGAGGTCACCCGTCAGCCTGCATGTGCGGTAAGACCCGAGACGTGGCGGTCAAGTTGGTCGCCTACCAGCGCCCGCGGCACGCTCCACGCTCGCCTTCTCTGCCCGGAGACCCCGACCTCGTGCCGTGGAGAGGACGCCCGGATCGGAGCTGCGGGGACTTCACTTTCCTCCACACAGGAGACCGCCCGCCGCCCGCCTAAGGGATCACTCACCGGGGTGCAGAACACTAGCCAGCCGCGGGTGCCAGGAGAGCAGCCGCGGAGCCTTTCAATTTGCGCGGGATCGCGAGGCCCCGCCCAGCGGACATGACGTCACGCGCGTCCTGAGCCGCAATCTCCGCCTCCCGCTCTCCGGAACCCCGCCTTCCTCTCATCCGGGTCTTGAGTCCTTCCTCGCAGAGGCGGGAGTCCGCCTCAAATGGTCAATGCAGTCTGAACAAGGCGAAGCTGGCCCCTGTAGGGACTGCTTGTCTTTGCGCGGGGCGGGGGAGGGTGGTAAAGGAGACCGGCGCCCCGGAAGTGCGTTCTTGCTCTCGCCGGTGCGCTGGGAGTTGTAGTTCCCGCCTTTGGAGTCACGTACAGGCGCTTTAAAGAACGTCCAACTTGGGGTCAACTTTGCTTTGTTGTTTTAAACCTGAAAAAGAACCCAGCAATTATTAGTCGCTTAGTCCCAGGCCAACCCCACGATCTTTCGTCTCTCTGAAATGTCCTCACCTCTATGCAAATTGAAGTTGAGTTTACTTCAAGGCTTTCTGTTGTCTCTGTATGACTGCTATCTGCCCTTACCTATTTTATCCAGTATCTGGCTTCATCCCTGACACGGGCTGAAAAAATGTTATCTTTATAACTGAACCTTATCGTTCACGGACGTTAAAGACACGCTACATTTTGGTGGCTGTCCTGAGCCACATTTCCTAATGTTATCGAGGAACGCAAACCCCTGTAGCCTCCCTTCCTCTTAATTGGCTTTTAAAGCTCACTAATTTTAGAAGTCACACAGCTGGACCGTGTATAATTTAGTCTCCCACTGGCTTTGCCGTAGCAGACAACTCTTAGTGAATCCATCTAAGTGTATGTGGCGTGTGGGGGGGGGGGGGTGTTAAGAATCTTTCTCACCTATATCTTTTGGAGAAAGTTTTTCTCTCTTGCCCTTCAAGTAAGGTACTGTTTACAACCCTCCATGCTCTCTGGGGAACAGAGGACTTTATTTTTTATTTTTTTTCGAGACAGGGTTTCTCTGTGGTTTTGGAGCCTGTCCTGGAACTAGCTCTTGTAGACCAGGCTGGTCTCGAACTCACAGAGATCCGCCTGCCTCTGCCTCCCAAGTGCTGGGATTAAAGGCGCGCGCCACCACTGCCCGGCTAACAGAGGACTTTAATATCCTAACAATTAAGGCTCGAATTAACTACTCCTGGGGAAAGGAACTCAAAAGACACACGTTGAGATTTTCTGTTGGGTTACATTTTGTTTGTTTGTTCATTTTGTTGTTTTTGTTTTTCGAGACAGGGTTTCTCTGTGTAACAGCCTTAGATGTCTTGGAACTCACTTTGTAGACCAGGCTGGCCTCAAACTCACAGAGATCCACCTGCCTCTGGTTTACATTTCTCTATAGACTTACAGAACACCAAACATCCATTAATATACAAATAGGTAGCTGCAGCTTGTGCACAGTTAAAACAGACCACTGAAGATTTGCAACTACCTGGGTGCCCCTCCTTTATACCCTCCCACAAGTCCCTAAATAAACAGTTGTGTCTGCAGCCCCAGGGAAGCTGGTCTTTGCTGGGGAGCTACTCCATCTTTGGTTTGCTAGCTTTCCAAGTGAATCTTTTTCCTTAACCAAATAACTTACTTTAAGTCACTGGACATTCTGAATGGAACGCGTTTACACTAATAGGAAATTCCCAGATCTGGCTAATGTTCTCTTTTCTTTGGAATGCTGTGGTAATATACTGCCCCTCCCCACCCCGTGTATGTGTGTGTATGTGTGTGCGCAGTGTACATACATATGTGTGGGGTAAAACTAGGTGGAAGTCCACTTTTGGTAGGCAGAGATGAACACATTAAGGGCATCTTGGCCCTTCCATGCCACTTTTTTTTTTTGACAGGTACCAGCTATGGAGCTGAAGCAAGAGGTGGCCTCCAGCAGGCTACACAGCACCTTCTGTGCTGTGAAAGCCAGCCATCATGGAGGTTTCCTGGTCAGTTCTAGATTGATTTGTCTATCTACATCCTGCAACCAAAGTGTGTAGTGTCTTTAGCAATAGGGTCTTCCCATCTAGTTATGGTGGACAGCCAAACATTGCTCTCTGCTTCCTTACTGTGGGTGCAGTCTGCTTAGCCGCGTCAAGCTCTTACTGCTGTGCCTTCCCCCACCATAATGGACTGTAGCTGCAAAAAACTTTGAAATAGAATAAACCTTTCTTCCTTAAGTTGCTTTGATTGATTGGAAAATTTTATAAGAGCAGTAGGAACTAAGACATAAGCTCTTAAATTTCAGCAGAGATGTACAGACTATACCTTTTTTTCCAGCCTGAGACGCAGTTCTGATATTTCTCATTTCCTGACATCCTCTTTGAATTGGATGTTAGTTTGGCAGCACCCGAACTTCCTGAGGTGATTCTACCTTGACACATATCACTTCCCATCCTGATTGATTTTGTCTCTGTATATTCTAAAAAATACACAGAGCATAATTGGTAGATTTCTATGTTCTAAACAAACAAGCAAGCAAGGCAACAACAGATGCATTTGATACAATGTTGTGAAGAGAAAAAAGTATAATTACATTTAATATCAATTGCAATTTGACTTATGTAAATTTTAAAATGCGTATTTAAAATAAGAATATTTTATGAGTCATAGAAGCAAAAGGATAGTATTGAGTATGTTAAGAAACCTGCATATGTGCGTGCCAGGAGGAGGAAAAAAAATGGGAATCAAGAATGGAGATATTGGGCCAAGAGAAATGGCTCAACAGTTTAAAATTGGCTGCTTTTCTAGAGGGCCTCAGTTAAGGTCCCAGAATCCACGAGATGGCTCACGACTGTTTGTAACCTCAGTTCCGGGATAGTTGAGCATATGTATTTGTGGCATGATTGAGCATCCTTTGGATATATACCCAAAAGTGGTATTACTGGGTCTTAAGGAAGGTTGTTTCCTAATTTTCTGAGAAATCGCCACACTGACATCCAAAGGGTCTGTACCAGCTTGCATTCCCACCAGCAATGCAGAAGTGTTCCCTTTACACCACAACCTCTCCAGCATAAGTTTTCATCAGTGTTTTTGATCTTGGCCATTCTTTCAGGTGTAAGATGAAATCTCAGAGTTGTTTTGATTTGAATTTCTCTGATGACTAAGGATGTTGAACATTTCCTTAAGGGTCTTTCAGCCATTTTAGATTCCTCTGATGAGAGTTCTTTGCTTAGGTCTGTACTCCATTTTTTTTTTATTGGATTATGTGATCTTTTGGTGTCCAATTTCTTGAGTTCTTTGTATATTGTGGAGGTCAGACCTCTGATGTGGGATTAGTGAAGATCTTTTCCCATTCTGTAGGCTGCTGTTTTGTCTTGTTGATCATGTCCTTTGCTTTACAGAAGCTTTTCAGTTTCAGGAGGTCCCATTTGTTAACTGTTTCTTTCAGTGTCTGTGCTGCTGGGGTTCTATTTAGGAAGTGGTTCCCTGTGCCATTGCATTCAAGTTTACTTCCCACTTTCTCTTCTATAAGGTTCAGTGTGGCTGGCTTTATGTTGAGGTCTTTGATCCATTTGGACTTGAGTTTTGTGCATGGTGATAGATATGGATCTATTTTCATTCTTCTACATGTTGATATCCAGTTATGCCAGCAGCATTTGTTAAATATGTTTTCTTTTTTCCATTTGATATGTTTTGCTTCCTTGTCAAAGATCAGGTATTCGAAGATGTGTGGATTGATATCCGGGTCTTCTATTCGGTTCCATTGGTCCTCCTGTCTGTTCTTATGCCAATACCAGGCTGTTTTCAGTATGTAGCTCTATAGTATAGTTTGAAGTCAGGGATTGTGATGTCTCCAGAAGTTCTTTTGCTCATCAAAACAAATTTATGCTCACATTAAAAACAGAGAAAATAAAGACTTAATATTAGACATCTCTAAATAGTATAGCTTAAGATATTTTTAATCCCTTCTCCATGGCCAAAGATTTTTTATTCTCCATACACTTGTGGTTTTTAATTAATTAGGCTAATTAATTATTTTACTATATGTATGTGTGATTGCTTCTCTCCCACCCCCTGTGTGTTTATGTGTGTGTGAGTGTGTGAGTGTGAGTGTAGGTCAGAGATAGCTTGCTGAGTCAGTTTTCTCTTTACGCTACGTGAATTCTAGGGCTGGAGGCATGGCAGCAAGTATCCTTTCCTGTTGAGCCATCTTGCAAGATCACAAAAAATATGTGAGTTTCTACTATAATCAGAAAATAGATATTACTTTAGAAGTAATTGGGCATCTTGACTTGTGATGAATGAGTAATACGAGAAGGAAAGGCATGGCATTCTGTCCAGGAGCAACATCGCCTCAGGTGACAAGAGTCATTGCTAGAAGCATTTCTGTAGATACTGTTCTCTAGGAGCCAGGGCTTTATAAAAGACACAGGACAAAAAACGTGGGTGAAGTCATCACTGCCACCGCTGGATGACTCTAAGGAAGTATGATGTGCAAGCGAAACAGAAGCCGGGGACAGACTGTTCTACCATGAAAGGTCATCCCGGTGTAAGGCATCGGTGACAAAGTCAGCACTTTTTCAGTCATCATGAAGGTGTTCTTTCTTTCTTTCTTCCTTCCTTCCTTCCTTCCTTCCTTCCTTTCTTTCTTTTTTGGTTTTTTGAGACAGGATTTCTCTGTAACTTTGAGACTGTGCAGGAACTCACTCTGTAGACCAGGCTGTCCTCAAACTCACAGAGATCCACTTGTCTGTGTCTCCCAAGTGCTGGGATTAAAGGTGTACATCACCACCACCCGGCTGTGAAAGTGTTTTATAGAAGCTATAGTCTCTACCCCAGGGATGATTTCTCGGTAGTTCTGATGATTTTTAGGAATCTCTATACAGCATTTCACTAGTGCGGTTTATAGATACTCCAGAGCAGCCATTGTTTAAGTGGTTGTATCATTGGAAATGCTACTGAAGTTGGGATCACAAAGATGGAATGGCAGAGAAGTCGGTATTTTTTTAAAAAAAAAAAACAACAACTTTATTTTATGTGCATTGCTGTGAAGGTGTCAGATCCCCTGGA